AAGAATGTGTCTTATACATGGGATGGGGAATGCACGACAGCCTTCGCAGCATTAAAGGAGGCTTTGGTGAGTCATCCGGTGCTCCGCATTGCAGATCCCAAACTCACATTCGTAGTAACTACGGATACCAGTATGTATGGGATTGGTGCAGTGCTGCAACAAGATGACGGCGACGACCTACTTCCGCTAGAGTTTTACAGCAAACGCATGCCCAGTCACAAGGTAGCTGCCTCCACCTACATGCGAGAACTCTATGCCTTGAGAGAGGGACTAGACCACTGGAAGCACTACCTCTTGGGCCGCCATTTCAAAGTGTTCTCAGACCATGAGACCTTGAAATGGGTTCAGACACAGAATAATCCCTCAACTACGCTGACCCGTTGGCTGCATGAGATTGTTGTGTATGACTTTGAGATTAAGCACAAGAAAGGCTGTTACAATCGCGTTGCGGATGCTTTGTCGTGCCACCCGGAGTACATGACTTGCCTTGTGGGTTCCTATGACCTACGTAAAAATTTGAAGGAGGAACTCATAGAGCACACTGCCAAGGATCCGGAACTCAGTCCCATCCTTGAGCAGATTCGAGCTGACCCTAGCAGTCAGCCTGATTTCCATGAATGTAAGGGTCTTCTCTTCCGACGCTATGGGAAGCATAACCGGTTGTGTGTACCCAACCATGAGCCAATCATCACTCACTTCTTGGACTTGGCTCATGGTTGGAGTGGACACTTCGGTGTTGAGAAGACGTACGGAAATCTGTTCGAAAATTTTGTGCGGCCTGGAATGAAAAGAATGACACAAAGGTTTGTGGCTGAGTGTGAAGTATGTCAACGCATCAAACCGTCTCGACAGAAGCCCTATGGGCTGCTGCACCCTCTTCCTATCCCTGATGGCCCGTGTGAGTCTGTTTCCATTGACTTCACGGACATGGGGAAGAAGAGCAGAAACGGTTATTCACAAGTAATGGTGATTGTCGATCGTTTTTCGAAGTTTTTGAATCTGATTCCACTACCACCTCACGCCCCAACTGACCTTGTTATCAAAGAGTTCCACAAAAGATACATTTTGCAGTGTGGGGCCCCGAAAACTCTAATGAGTGACCGGGACACTAGGTTCATAAGCGCAGAATGGAAGGACTTCACCTCCCAGGTCTATGACATGAAACTCAAGATGACATCTGGTCGACATCCCGAAGCCAATGGACTGGCCGAGGAGATCAACCAGACCGTGATCCAACTTCTCAGGGCTCTTATCGTGCCTGACCAGAACTCTTGGGATGAGGAGTTGCCGATTGTGCAGGGGTTGTACAACAACTCCATCCACTCTTCCACCGGGATGACGCCTAACCGGCTGCACCTCGGATGGAAAATCCGCAATCCCCTATCATATCTGTTCCCGGAACAGCCACCTGGCCTAACACCTCGCCAGCCAGGCTACAGTGCTAAGTACGATTGTTTGCTCAAAGTCGTTGTCGCGGCTATGGAGAGGCGACGCAGTGCTATGATTAAGCATGCGAACAAGAAACGCCAGCCTGATCCCTTCACTGTGGGAAGTTATGTCTGGGTCAAGATGTCTGAGTTTTCTGAAGAAGAAGGTGTGTCACGGAAACTTCTTCCTCAGTACTACGGTCCCTGGAAGGTGCTGAATCGAGTAGGCAATGATTCCTTCGGTCCTTCTTACACGATTGATGTGCCTGCGCATCTGCGCACGTATCCAGTCTTCCACGCATCAAAGTTATTTCCGTATGAACCACCTGAGACGTTCAAATACCGAGAATCGATGATTCCTCGCGCAATCAATGGCGGTCACGAGGTTGATAGAATTGTTGAGCACAGTGGGAAGGGAAGAAACAGACAGTACAAAGTCCATTTCCTGTACCATCCTCTGGACGATTTCTACTGGATTGCTAAGAAAGACTTACTGCAGAGTGCACCGCGTGTCGTTAACGCCTATGAGCGATTGATAAGTTCTGAACAGCAACCAAAATTCACTGCTACCCTGACTCCTACGGAACACACCMGATCTCTCTTCGCTATCTACGCTTATGATGCATTATGCAAGGACTCTGATTGAGTTACTCGCTCGAAGGGACCTCGCTCTCGAGGGGGGAGTAGTGTAATGACCCGTCAAAACACAGACTGAGAACACTGCTGATTTCTGAAGTTCTGCCGATGGAATGGATGCCTTGCTGAGATTCCCGCATTCTGCTGTGTTTCTAAGTCTGTCTGTGTGTGCATGCTTGTGGCCTGCATGCCTGTCTGAGTGCTTGTTGGTATGAGTGTATGTGGGACCCATAAGGGTACTTGCTTGTTTGGTAGGCCCGTAGGGCTGGTACTTACCTGTGGTCGTGGCATTGAGGGTTGTAGCAGGGAAAACCACTCAAGTGGCGAAGCTAGCGGCCCCGAGGCCCTTGGGTTAGCGGAAAAACACTCAAGTAGGCC